GTCACATAACTGTAATCTCTAATGTGTCCATGTCTTCAGTCACATAACTTTAATCTCTAATGAGTCCATGTCTTCAGTCACACAACTGTAATCTCTAATGTGTCCATGTCTTCAGTCACATAACTGTAATCTCTAATGTGTCAATGTCTTCAGTCACATAACTGTAATCTCTAATGTGTCCATGTCTTCAGTCACATAACTTTAATCTCTAATGTGTCCATGTCTTCAGTCACATAACTGTAATCTCTAATGTGTCCATGTCTTCAGTAACATAACTGTAATCTCTAATGTGTCCATGTCTTCAGTCACATAACTGTAATCTCTAATGTGTACATGTTTTCAGTCACATAACTGTAATCGCTAACGTGTACATGTCTACAGTCACATAACTCTAAACTCTAACGTGTACACGTCTTCAGTCACATAACTGTAATCTCTAACGTGTACACGTCATCAGTCACATAACTGAAATCTCTAATGTGCACATGTCTACAGTCATATAACTGTAATCTCTAATGTGTACATGTCTTCAGTCACATAACTGTAATCTCTAATGTGTCCATGTCTTCAGTCACATAACTGTAATCTTTAATGTGTCCATGTCTTCAGTCACATAACTTTAATCTCTAATGTGTCCATGTCTTAAGTCACATAACAGTAATCTCTAATGTGTCCATGTCTTCAGTCACATAACTGTAATCTCTAATGTGTCCATGTCTTCAGTCAGATAACTGTAATCTCTAACGTGTACATGTTTTCAGTCACATAACTGTAATCTCTAACGTGTACATGTCTACAGTCACATAACTCTAAACTCTAACGTATACACGTCTTCAGTCACATAACTGTAATCTCTAACGCGTACACGTCATCAGTCACATAACTGAAATCTCTAATGTTCACATGTCTACAGTCACATAACTGTAATCTATAATGTGTACACGTCTTCAGTCACATAACTGTAATCTCTAATGTTTACACGTCTTCAGTCACATAACTGTAATCTCTAATGTGCACATGTCTACAGTCACATAACTGTAATCTATAATGTGTACATGTCTTCAGTCACATAACTGTAATCTCTAATGTGTACACGTCTTCAGTCACATAACTGTAATCTATAATGTGTACACGTCTTCAGTCACATAATTGTAATCTCTAATGTGTACACGTCTTCAGTTACATAACTGTAATCTATAATGTGTACATGTCTTCAGTCACATAACTGTAATCTCTAATGTGTACACGTCTTCAGTTACATAACTGTAATCTCTAATGTGTCCATGTCTTCAGTCACATAACTGTAATCTCTAATGTGCACACGTCTTCAGTCACATAACTGTAATCTCTAATGTGCACATCTACAGTCACATAACTGTAATCTCTAATGTGTACACGTCTTCAGTCACATAACTGTAATCTCTAATGTGTACATGTCTTCAGTCACATAACTGTAATCTCTAATGTGTACACGTTTTCAGTCACATAACTGTAATCTCTAATGTGTACATGTATTCAGTCACATAACTGTAATCGCTAATGTGCACGTCTACAGTCACATAACTGTAATCTCTAATGTGTACACGTCTTCAGTCACATAACTGTAATCTATAATGTGTACACGTCTTCAGTGTCATAACTGTAATCTCTAATGTGTCCATGTCTTCAGTCACATAACTGTAATCTCTAATGTGCACGTCTACAGTCACATAACTGTAATCTCGAATGTGTCCATGTCTTCAGTCACATAACTGTAATCTCTAATGTGTACAAATTTTCAGTCACATAACTGTAATCTCTAATGTGTACATGTCTTCAGTCACATAACAGTAATCTATAATGTGTACACTTCTTCAGTGTCATAACTGTAATCTATAATGTGTACATGTCTTCAGTCACATAACTGTAATCTATAATGTGTACATGTCTTCAGTCACATAACTGTAATCTCTAATGTGTACATGTCTTCAGTCACATAACTATAATCTCTAATGTGTTCACATCTTCAGTCACATAACTGTAATATCTAATGTGTGCACGTCCTCAGTCACATAACTGTAATCTCTAATGTGTACACATCTTCAGTCACATAACTGTAATCTCTAATGTGTCCATGTCTTCAGTCACATAACTGTAATCTCTAATGTGTACACGTCTTCAGTTACATAACTGTAATCTCTAATGTGTCCATGTCTTCAGTCACATAACTGTAATCTCTAATGTGCACATGTCTTCAGTCACATAACTGTAATCTCTAATGTGCACGTCTACAGTCACATAACTGTAATCTCTAATGTGTACACGTCTTCAGTCACATAACTGTAATCTCTAATGTGTACATGTCTTCAATCACATAACTATAATGTCTAATGTGTTCACGTCTTCAGTCACATAACTATAATCTCTAATGTGTTCACGTCTTCAGTCACATAACTGTAATCTCTAATGTGTCCATGTCTTCAGTCACATAACTGTAATCGCTAATGTGCACGTCTACAGTCACATAACTGTAATCTCGAATGTGTCCATGTCTTCAGTCACATAACTGTAATCTCTAATGTGTACACGTTTTCAGTCACATAACTGTAATCTCTAATGTGTCCATGTCTTCAGTCACATAACTGTAATTTCTAATGTGTACACGTTTTCAGTCACATAACTGTAATCTCTAATGTGTACATGTCTTCAGTCACATACACTACATGGCCAACAGTATGTGGACAACACAAGCTCACAGAACGGGACTGCCGAGTGCTGAAGCACATACAGTGAGGGAAAAAAGTATTTGATCCCCTGCTGATTTTGTACGTTTGGCCACTGACAAAGAAATTATCAGTCTATCATTTTAATGGTAGATTTATTTGAACAGTGAGAGACAGAATAACAACAACAAAATCCAGAAAAATGCATGTCAAAAATGTTATAAATTGATTTGCATTTTAATGAGGGAAATAAGTATTTGACCCCCTCTCAATCAGAAAGATTTCTGGCTCCCAGGTGTCTTTTATACAGGTAACGACCTGAGATTAGGAGCACACTCTTAAAAGGAGTGCTCCTAATCTCAGTTTGTTACCTGTATAAAAGACACCTGTCCACAGAAGCAATCAATCAATCAGATTCCAAACACAGCCAAGACCAAAGAGCTCTCCAAGGATGTCAGGGACATGATTGTAGACCTACACAAGGCTGGAATGGGCTACAAGACCATCGCCAAGCAGCTAGGTGAGAAGGTGACAACAGTTGGTGCGATTATTAGCAAATGGAAGAAACACAAAAGAACTGTCAATCTCCCTCGGCCTGGGGCTCCATGCAAGATCTCACCTCGTGGAGCTGCAATGATCATAAGAACGGTGAGGAATCAGCCCAGAACTACACGGGAGGATCTTGTCAATGATCTCAAGGCAGCTGGGACCATAGTCACCAAGAAAACAATTGGTAACACACTACGCCGTGAAGGACTGAAATCCTGCAGCGCCCGCAAGGTCTCCCTGCTCAAGAAAGCACATATACAGGGCCGTCTGAAGTTTGCTAATGAACATCTGAATGATTCAGAGGAGAACTGGGTGAAAGTGTTGTGATCAGATGAGACCAAAATCGAGCTCTTTGGCATCAACTCAACTCGCCGTGTTTGGAGGAGGAGGAATGCTGCCTATGACCCCAAGAACACCATCCACACCGTCAAACATGGAGGTGGAAACATTATGCTTTGGGGGTGTTATCTGCTAAGGGGACAGGACAACTTCACTGCATCACAGGGACGATGGACGGGGCCATGTACGGTCAATTCTTGGGTGAGAACCTCCTTCCCTCAGCCAGGGCATTGAAAATGGGTCGTGGATGGGTATTCCAGCATGACAATGACCCAAAACACACGGCCAAGGCAACAAAGAAGTGGCTCTGGATTTTTTTATTATTATTCTGTCTCTCACAGTTCAAATAAACCTACCATTAAAATTATAGACTGATCATATCTTTGTCAGTGGGCAAACGTACAAAATCAGCAGGGGATCAAATACTATTTTCCCCTCACTGTAGTGCGTAAAAGTCGTCTGTCCTCGGTTGCAACACTCACTTCCGAGTTCCTCTGGAAGCAATGTCAGCACAAGAACTGTTCGTCAGGAGCTTCATGAAATGGGTTTCCATGGTCGAGCAGCTGCACACAAGCCTAAGATCACCATGCGCAATGCCAAGCGTCGGCTGGAGTTGTGTAATGCTCGCTGTCATTGGACTCTGGAGCAGTGAAAATGCGTTCTCTGGAGTGATGAATCACGCTTCACCATTTGGCAGTCCGATGGACGAATCTGGGTTTGGTGGATGCCAGGAGAACGCTACCTGTCCCAATGCATAGTGCCCACTGTAAAGTCTGGTGGAGGAGAAATAATGGTCTGGGTCTGTTTTTCGTGATTTGGGCCCCTTAGTTCCAGTGAAGGGAAATCTTAACGCTACAGCATACAATTACATTCTAGACGATTCTGTGCTTCCAAATTTGTGGCAACAGTTTGGGGAAGGCCCTTTTCCTGATTCAGCATGACAATGCCCCCGTGCACAAAGCGAGGTCCATACAGAAATGGTTTGTCGAGTTCGGTGTGGAAGAACTTGACTGGCCTGCACAGAGCCCTGACCTCAACCCCGTCGAACACCTTTGGGATGAATTGGAATGCCGACTGCGAGCCAGGGCCTAATCACCTAACATCAGTGCCCGACCTCACTAATGCTCTTGTGGCTGAATGGAAGCAAGTCCCCGCAGCAATGTTTCAACATCTGATGGAAAGCCTTCCCAGAAGAGTGGAGTCTGATATAGCATTAAAAAGGGGGACCAACTGTTGGACAAGCAGCTGTCCATATACTTTTGGTCATGTAGTGTAACTGGAAGGATGGAAGGTATAAATTAATATAAATGAGAAGGAAGTGGTGAACACACAGCACTTGGTCAATGTCAACACACACACACACACACACACACACACACACACACACACACACACACACACACACACACACTAACCTGGTGGAGCCGTAGACTCTCCATAGCCCTTCATGTCCAGAGATAACACTCTAAACCCTGCATCAGCTAGAGCTGGGATCTGACAGACAGAGATATAGAGAGACAAACAGACCCCACATAACCCCAGGACAGCAACACAATTAGACCCAACCAAATCATGAGAAAACAAAAACAACAGAGCAAACTAGAATGCTATTTGGCCCTAAACAGAGAGTACACAGTGGCAGAATACCTGACCACTGTGACTGACCCAAAATTCAATAAATCTTTGACTTTGTACAGACTCAGTGAGCATAGCCTTGCTATTGAGAAAGGCCGCCGTAGGCAGACCTGGCTCTCAAGAGAAGACAGGCTATGTGCACATTGTCCACAAAATGAGGTAGAAACTGAGCTGCACCTCCTAACCTCCTGCCAAATGTATGACCATATTAGAGACACATATTTCCCTCAGATTACACAGACCCACAAAGAATTCGAAAACAAATCCAATTTTGTTAAACTCCCATATATTTTGGGTGAAATACCAGTGTGCCATCACAGCAGCTAGATTTGTGACCTGTTGCCACAAGAAAAGGGCAACCAGTGAAGAACAAACACCATTGTAAATACAACCCATATTTATGTTTATTTTCCCTTTTGTACTTTAACTATTTGTACATTGCTACATATTATGAAATAATTTAACATTTTAAATGTCTTTATTCTGTTAAAACTTTCTGTAATGTTTACTAATGTTTCCCTTGTCTATTTCCCTTTTGTTTATGATCTATTTAATTTGCTTTGGCAACGTAAACATATGTTTCCCATGCCAATAAAGCCCCTTAAATTGAAATTGAGAGAGAGAGAGAGAGACAGAGAGAGAGAGAGAGAGAGAGAGAGAGAGAGAGAGAGAGGGAGTGTGTGTGAGTAGTATGTGTGTGTTTACCTGATATCTCCAGGAATACCAGCTCTCAGGGAAGCCATGACACAGCATGACTGGAGGCCCCGCCCCCATCTCCACAAAGTGCAGCTTTACACCGGGCTAGAGACGGAGACGGAGACGGAGACGGAGAGGAGAGGAGAGGAGAGGAGAGGAGAGAGAGAGAATTTACAAAAACAGAGCAAACTAGAATGCTATTTGGCCCTAAACAGAGAGTACACAGTGGCAGAATACCTGACTACTGTGATTGACCCAAACTTAAGGAAATCTTTGACTATGTACAGACTCAGTGAGCATAGCCTTGCTATTGAGAAAGGCAGCCGAAGGCAGACAGGCTATGTGCACACTGCACACAAAATGAGGTGGAAACTGAGCTGCATTTCCTAACTTCCTGTCAAATGTATGACCATATTAGAGACACATACTTCCCTCAGATTACACAGAGAGAGACAGAGAGACAGAGAGAGAGAGAGAGAGAGAGAGAGAGAGAGAGAGAGAGAGAGAGAGAGAGAGAGAGAGAGAGAGAGAGAGAGAGAGACAGAGAGAGACACAGAGAGAGAGAGAGGGTTGAACATGGTTGAATAAGCTTCAAAACCACTGTGTCATCATGTACACACTTTCTTCTACATACAGCATTGTCTGCACTGTGTGTGTGTGTGGGGGTGGGGGGTTGTCACCTTGATGGTGACATATCCATGAGAAACTTCTTCTGGGTTGCAAGAGGCTGGGTAGCTTTCCCCTGTTACCACCTGGAACACACACATACTAAATCAAAACAGGAGATTGGAATACTGCAGCTAGCGATTGTATCGGCGAGTCGGTGACAACAAATTTGGCAGCTGATTACTGCAAAATAATTGTCACCTACTCACAGACATTGTCACGGACAATAGAAGCTCCAACATGTTGGTGTGTGGGTGTGTGTGTGTTACCTGTACTCCAGTGAAGGTCTCTACTTGTTTCAGAGCTTCAGGCAGGTTCTTCACCAGAACAGCTGTCATACCTACTGCCTCTGCTGCTCCCACCCCCTCCTCATCATCAGCCAACCACAGAGCCTGAAGTATAGACTGACAGGTCAGTTGTCCACTTACAACAAGAGAGAAAATAGGAGAGGAGAGGAGAGGAGAGGAGAGGAGAGGAGAGGAGAGGAGAGGAGAGGAGAGGAGAGGAGAGGAGAGGAGAGGAGAGGAGAGGAGAGGAGAGGAGAGGAGAGGAGAGAGAAGAGAGAAGAGAGAAGAGAGAATAGAGAAGAGAGAAGAGAGAATAGAGAGAGAGAGAGAAGAGAAAAGAGAGAAGAGAGAAGAGAGAGAGAGAGACAGAGACAGAGACAGAGAGACAGAGAGAGAGAAAGAGAGAAGAGAGAATAGAGAATAGAGAATAGAAATAGAAATAGAGAACAGAGAACAGAGCATCAGAGGGAAGGGAGAGAGAGGAGGAGGAAGATAATGTTTCTAAGAACTACCAAAGAAGTCTGAACTACGACACATAACTTTCTGTTGTTAATTAAAATCAAATGTATTGGTCACATACACATGGTTAGCAGATGTTATTGCGAGTGTAGCGAAATGTTTGTGCTTCTAGTTCCGACAGCGCAGCAACATCTAGCAAGTAATAGCTAACAGTTCCACAACAAATACCTAATACACACAAATCTAAGTAAAGGAATGGAATAAGAATATATAAATATATGGATGAGCAATGTCATTGTCAGAGACAATAGCTGAGAGCGACTCTACACAGGAAGGTCAGATTTGGTTTCTAGGGCCGTGTGCAGACAGAGCTTTGTGAAGGGATGGGTGTGGGTGGTTTTAGGAATGTAACAGCATCTACAACTTCGATGATTTCATGTTTTCCATGGAAGCTCCAAGCAGTGACTCCAAGACATTGATATCAGTTGTTGTTGCTAACATGATCAAAGATAATAAGATAATGTATGTGCACACATTTAATTTGACTCTTTAATAAAGTTATAATATGTGCTATGATCTGCAGAACAGCCTTTATAGACAGACAGGTCACCTCTACCTCATGTTCCTTCCATGGAAATTCTTGCATCACCTTGTATGACAAGTGACAAGTGATGACAAGTCAGATTGTGTGTGTGTGTGTGTGTCTGTGTGTGTGTGTGTGTGTGTGTGTGTGTGTGTGTGCATTTGTCCCAGTGTGTGTGAACCTGTTTAGGAGTTACTCCCAGCTGTGTGAGAGCGGAGGTGAACAGGTCGGTCTCTGGGACCCTGAGGCCGGTACGACAGGACTGTAGCACCACATCAAAATGGCTGCCCAGCAGAGAGAGGAGCCGGCCAGAGCTATCTCCACACCCACCGTCATCCACCCACTGGTTGGCCAACACACCTGTCAATAACCCTGACAGGAAACACAAGGAGGCACGATATGGAATGTGACCTTAGAATGTACAAGGGTGGACTCTGTGTTTCAGATGTGTGTGTTTGTTTGTGTGTGTGTGTGTTACCTTGTCTGCGGTGTTTCAGATGTGTGTGTGTGTTTGTGTGTGTGTGTGTGTTACCTTGTCTGCGGAGCGTTGCTACGGTCTGCAGAATGTGTGTGTTGATCGTGGCCGAGTCTCTGACTTCCTCCAACAGGCTCTTAACAGAGAACCCAGCAGGAAGACTGACCTTCTGGTCGGACGCTGCACTCACACACTCTGCATCAAGCTCTGGGATCATCTACACACACACACACACACACACACACACACACACACAATCTGACTTGACATCACTTGTCACTTGTCATACAAGGTGATGCGATAATTTCCATGGAAAGAACATTTCAAATCAAATCAAATTTTATTGGCCACATGCGCCGAATACAACAGGTGCAGACATTACAGTGAAATGCTTACTTACAGCCCTTAACCAACAGTGCATTTATTTTTAATAAGTAAAATAAAACAACAACAAAAAAGTGTTGAGAAAAAAAGAGCAGAAGTAAAATAAAATAACAGTAGGGAGGCTATATATATACAGGGGGGTACCGGTGCAGAGTCAATGTGCCGGGGTGCACCGGCTAGTTGAGGTAGTTGAAGTAATATGTACATGTGGGTAGAGTTAAAGTGACTATGCATAAATAATTAACAGAGTAGCAGCAGCATAAAAAGATGGGGTGGGGGGGGCAGTGTAAATAGTCTGGGTAGCCATGATTAGCTGTTCAGGAGTCTTATGGCTTGGGGGTAGAAGCTGTTGAGAAGTCTTTTGGACCTAGACTTGGCACTCCGGTACCGCTTGCCGTGCGGTAGCAGAGAGAACAGTCTATAACCAGGGTGGCTGGAGTCTTTGACAATTTTGAGGGCCTTCCTCTGACACCGCCTGGTATAGAGGTCCTGGATGGCAGGAAGCCATCCAGGACCTCTATAGAAGGCACATTTCAATAGAAGGCACATTTCAATAGAAGGTACATTTCCGTGGATTATAATATAGGCTATATTATTTATGTTTGTACCAGTTCTAGGGGTCATTGAGGAAACAATTATCAAGATCTTGAACTTTTGGAGTTAACAGCTTGGTAACTGAGTTCTGACCATGTTAGTGGTTTGAACTTGACGTTATTTGTCTGTGTAAGCTACCTGTGTGTGTGTGTGTGTGTGTGTGTAACTAACCTGAGAGAGTGTGAGTTTACCCCTCTCTGCGCGTTGCATGGCGCTGTCCTCGTTTCTCACCAACTTCTCCAGAAAACCACTAAACCAGAACATAACCATACATTTACACACCAAGTATATTGCACGCACCACACATACAATCTGTCTGTCTGTCACTGGCATAGCACGGCATATGCTATGATTTTTTGGGGGGGGAATTACAGGCAATTAGCTTTAAAACTGCAACATAAAAATAATCAGCCTCATGACAAAATGTATAGAATAGCAGGAAATTAGCTCAAGGATTCTTGAAAGGCGGGACAATCCTTGTCCGGGAAAATATTAATTTTTGCAATTTTCGAAATACTATAAATATTGCCTGGAAATGCCCTTGTCCAGAGCAAAGGATCCCAATTTCAAACTCTCCAGAAAAGTGTTTAAAATATAACACAAACTGTCAATAAAGGATATTAATCTAAAAATTATGGTATGTAGTTTCTCTCTGTGACTTTAAAGAATATTTATCTCAAAACTTTGATTCCTAAAAGATGTGTCCAGAGATGTGGTCAACTCTGTCAGATTTGTCTAAAATCCTAAATCAATCAGGAATGAGCAGGGTCAGCTATATCATAAGGACCCCTTCTTCATGTCCTCATTACATGTAGTGCAACAAGACCACTCATGATCTGGAAAGTTCTCTACTTTTGGATAGATTTAAACAAACAATAATGAAATTCCCATGGTCACAACCATAAACTGTCAACTCAATCTGCCTGATTAAAAAATAATATGAATTTTGGTTCAAATATGTTACATTTAATTAGGTTTTTGAGTCATAAAACAACTGAGGAAAAACTCAATTGTTACTGTGTATACCACTCAACTCCGTAAAACATCAACTCCGTCAGATTAATTAGTGCTGAAAGAATGGTTGTGTTTTTTATTGGGGATTTTCAAAATAATAATTTTCCATATTTTACAAATGTTTGTATTGAACCTCTGTCAGTGGTTTGTCAATGCTGTCATTGGTGGCTTACGCCCTTAAAAACAATTTTTGGGGAAATATTCTGAAAACATATTGTAATCATTGTTCTGCAACATACTGTATGCTTAAACAATTGCAGTACAGTGTATTTGGAAAGTATTCAGACCCCTTGACTTTTTCCACATTTTGTTACACAGCCTTAATCTAAAATGGATTAAATTGTTAGTTTCTTTTCATCAAGCTACACACAATACCACGTAATGACAAAGCAAAAACAGGTTTAGACATTTTTGCATATGTATTACAAATAAAAACTGGAAATATTACATTTACATAAGTATTCAGACCCTTTACTCAGTACTTTGTTGAAACACCTTTGGCAGCGATTACAGCCTTGAGTCTTCTTGGGTATGAAGCTACAAGCTTGGCACACCTGTATTTGGGGAGTTTCTCCCATTCTTCTCTGCAGATCCTCTCAAGCTCTATCAGGTTGGTTGGGGAGCGTCGCTGCACAGCTATGTTTAGTTCTCTCCAGAGATGTTCGATCGGGTTCAAGTCCGGGCTTTGGCTGGGTAACACTCAAGGACATTCAGAGACTTGTACCGAAGCCACTCCTGCGTTGTCTTGGCTGTGTGCTTAGGGTCATTGTCCTGTTGGAAGGTGAACCTTCCCCCAATCTGAGGTCCTGAGCGCTCTGGAGCAGGTTTTCATCAAGGATCTCTCTGTACTTTGCTCCGTTCATCTTTCCCTCGATCCTGACTAGTCTCCCGGTCCCTGCCGCTGAAAAACATCCCCACAGCATGATGCTGCCACCACCATGCTTCACCTTAGGGATGGTGCCAGGTTTCCTCCAGACGTGACGCTTGGCATTCAGGCCAAAGAGTTCAATTTTGGTTTCATCAGACCAGAGAATCTTGTTTCTCAGAGTCCTTTACGTGCCTTTTGGAAAACTCCAAGCGGGCTGTCATGTGCCTTTTACTGAGGAGTGGTTTCCATCTGGCCACTCTACCATAAATGCCCAGTTGGTGGAGTGCTGCAGAGATGGTTTTCCTTATGGAAGGTTCTCCCTTCTCCACAGAGGAACTCTAGAGCTCTGTCAGAGTGACCATCGTGTTCTTGGTCACCTCCCTGACCAAGGCCCTTCTCCCCCGATTGCTCAGTTTGGCTGGGTCGGCCAGCTCTAGGAAGAGTCTTGGTGGTTCCAAACTTCTTCCATTTAAGAATGATGGAGGCCACTGTGTTCTTGGGGACCTTCAATGCTGCCAAAAAAGATTGGTACCCTTCCCCAGATCTGTGCCTCGACACAATCCTGTCTCGGAGCTCTAGGACATTTCCTTCGACCTCATGGCTTGGTTTTTGCTCTGACATGCACTGTCAACTGTGGGACCTTATACAGACAGGTGTGTGCCTTTCCAAATCATGCCCAATCAATTGATTTTACCACAGGTGGACTCCAATCAAGTTGTAGAAACATCTCAAGGATGATAAATGGAAGCAGGATGCACCTGAGCTCAATTTGGAGTCTCATAGCAAACGGTCTGAATACAAAGATTTCTAAAAACCAGTTTTTGCTTTGTCTTAGAGGGTATTGTGTGTAGAATGATGAGAAAAGTAATAATTTTATCAATTTAGAATAAGGCTGTAACGTAACAAAATTTGGAAAAAGTCAAGGGGTCTGAATACTTTCCGAATGCACTGTATTCACTGTTCTAGACCGAAGGGACAACATCTGCATTATAAATAATGTTGTTTTATGTTCTAAATCTAGAAAAAGGTGCCAAAATGCTAATGAAATTTGCCCTGGAGAATTTAATAGTGCTTCAAACACAAAAAAACTACTTGTTGATATGTATTACAATATTTAGTACTATATTATATATATATATTTTTTAGTACTATATTATATAGTATTATTACAATATTTGAATAATCTAAATATTAGAATTAAACAATCAAGGCCTTTAAACAATAATAATTAATAAACTAATAATAATAATTAATTATTAATAATAATAATAATAGTTGGACAATAATTATTAATAATAAATCAAATGCCTTTTAGGGTGTCTGACAGAGTTAACATAAATCCAGTTAGTTGCATTTTATGAAGACATTTCTTTGGGGGGGGGGGGTGTGATATCATGGTGTGATAGCTGATACTTTGGTCTATCAAAATATATATATCACGATCGTCGGGAACAGAGGACCAAGGCGCAGCGTGGAATGCGAACATATTTATTCAATAATGATCACACGAACAAAACAACAAAACGATAACGTGACGTCCCTGGTTACATACACCAACCAACACGGAACAAGAAACCACACCAAATGAATGCCTAACGGCTACCTAAGTATGGCTCCCAATCAGAGACAACGAGCTACAGCCGTCTCTGATTGGGAGCCACCCTGGCCAACATAGAATTACAAAACCTAGAAATTAACACCCTGGCTCAACATACGAGAGTCCCCAGAGCCAGGGCGTGACAGTACCCCCCCCCCCCCCCCCCCCCCCCCAAAAGCGCGGACTCCGACCGCGCCAACCAAACACAACAGGGGAGGGACCGGGTGGGCACTCCGCCTCGGCGGCGGATCCGGCTCCGGGCATGACCCCCACTCCTTCTCTAACCCCCCAAAGTACCCCTGGTCCGGTCTGGCCCTGCTGACCGGAGCTGGAACTGAACACTGGTGGAGCGGATTGCTCTAGCTCCGGCGTGACGCAGCTGACCCGTGCCGACCCAGGCACCGGTGGAACAGGCACGGGCTGTGCCGTACTGACGACGCACACTACTGGCTTGGTGTGGGGAGCAGGAGCGGGCCGAGCCGGGCTGACGAAACGCACCACTGACTTGGTGCGGGGAGCAGGAACGGGCCGAGCCGGGCTGACGAAGCGCACCACTGACTTGGTGCGGGGAGCAGGAACGGGCCGAGCTGGGCTGACGAAACGCACCACTGACTCGGTACGAGGGACAGGAACAGGCTGGACCTTACTGGGGACACACACCACTGGCTCTACGCGGGGATCAGGAACGGGCCGGACCGGACTGGTAACACACCCCAGTACCTCTCGCCGTGCCTCTACACTTTCCTCCCCTTTTGTAACCAGTGGCCCCCGTAACCTGGCGGCCTCCTCTACTAACCGCTCTATCGAGGCCTCCTGCTGCCCCGTCGTCCACGGCGTGAGCCCCCCCTAAAAAATGTCTGGGTGTCTCTCCTCCTCGTGGACCAGGCCTCCATAGTTCTCGCCCAACTCTCGCTCTTCTGCTTCCAAGTCCTCTCTGGCGTTGGCTCCTGGACACGCTGCTTGGTCCAGTTATGGTGGTTTCTTCTGTCACGATCGTCAGGAACAGAGGACCAAGGCGCAGCGTGGAATGCGAACATATTTATTAAATAATGATCACACGAACAAAACGATAACGGGACGTCCCTGGTTACATACACCAACCAACACGGAACAAGAAACCACACCAAATGAATGCCTAACGGCTACCTAAGTATGGCTCCCAATCAGAGACAACGAGCTACAGCCGTCTCTGATTGGGAGCCACCCTGGCCAACATAGAATTACAAAACCTAGAAATTAACACCCTGGCTCAACATACGAGAGTCCCCAGAGCCAGGGCGTGACAATATACTTCAAATTGGGTTAAATTAAGACAAATATTTGTGGGGGAAAAAGTTTAGATTCTCCCATCTTTCAAGAATCCCTGAGCGCTAAAACAGCCTCATGGCAAAATGTGTAAAATAGCATGAGATTAGCTCCAAAACTGCACATTTCTGTCTCTGCCCCATGGCAAAAAAAATCATTCAGCAAACGGTTTTTACATGGCCTGAAGGTATCAGAATATAGAGGATTTTTTAGAGCAATTTTGGAGGGAATCTTTAAAAAAATCCTCTATATACTGTTACCTTCAGGCCATGTAAAAACCGTTTGCTGAATGATTCGGAACAAGTAAAAAGGGGCTGCAATAACGGGGCTATCCCATGCTTGTGTTATGTTCCAAGTATGCGCGTAAGGTTTTAGTGTCTGTCAGCACTCTGCACTCTCTCTCACCGCTGGAAAAAATATTGATTC